TATAGTATAAATTTTTAGTTAATACAAACACATCTATTTAAGTTATCTATTATGTTATGAGGATCGATATCAAAGTCATTACCAATATGCTATTTTTCTACTGTGTATGACATGTATTTTTGTTAATTATGATTGTTATTTCCTAACCATTTGTTTCGTATGGTATGCTCGAGGAGACTTAATATGAGAGCCTTGATGAAAGGCAGGTATGATCTAGCCAAATATATACAATTAATATATATATATATATATATAGGGAAAAGATAATGTCAGCCCACAGGCTGATAGCTACAGTGTTAGCCAATGGTCCGGATTGAATCTGGGCCGATCTGACGGTCACGATTTCATTTTGTGTTTGAATTTTCATTTTGTTTCTATATATCCAAATAACTTGAAATTTGGAGTGTTTATTATTCAAAAATAGAAAAATCTAATAAAAATATAAAAAAAAATAATTCGTAAAGTATAAATTGATCAAAATACCTTCAAAATATTTTTGGGGTATTATGGTTAATTTATATTTTACAAAATATATATTTTTTTTATATTTTAGTAGGTGCGTCTTAATGAGAAGAATGAACGCCTAAAATTTCAAGTGATTTGGATGTGTAGAAAAAAATGAAAATTTAAATGCGAAATGCGATTGTAACCGTCAGATCAGCCCAAATTGAATCTGGGCCATTGCCTGGTAATGTAGCAGCCAACCTATGGGCTGATAGAATCCACTTTCTATATATATATATATATATATATATATATATATGTGAGAAAAAAAGTTTATATAGAGTCGTGGCTCTAAACAATCAAATTAGAGCCCACCTCAAATATTTCATTAGAAGATGTTTTGATGTCCAAATATCCTTAAATTGATCATCTCGACATCAAGATGCATGGACATGAGAAAAAAATAGATTTCAAGTTTTGAAAATAGTGTATTTCATGCCACATTTTTGGACCGTCAAGTTTCAATATTTTCTAGTTTTCATAGATATGTCGATCTACACTATTTTCGAAGTTTTAAATTTTATAAATAAAAATGAAAATATATTTTAAGGCTATCATAGAGATTTCCAGTATTGAAACCACATTTCTGGACACTATTTGAAGGTAGGCTTTAATTTGAGTGTTTAGAGCCTAGGCTTTATACAGACTGCACCTTTAATATAATCATACAAAAAACGATGCATGAAAACGGATAAAGAAATTATTAGAATTACCAAATATCTACGCCTTAGGTTATCGTTAAGGACTTTGTAAACCCCACATCGGGTTTTACAATTTGGGAAGCTTAGGCAAAACCCTCCACCGTTAATCTTGTCTCACAATTTGGTAAGCTTAGGCAAAACCGGATGAGAGCATGACATAGTATGGGATATGAATCTTTCTCGGCATAGGGTTATGAATGCTTTTGCGTGCTATGGTTAGGGTGTGCCCCCCTCTTCTTTTCTAAAGAGAGGCCAAACTTTTTGCAATTGTAGAGATTGATCCCTGAAGAAAATATTTATAGAGTAGAGGCTAGGGTTTTGGGTCTAGTATTTGGATGAAGATTCAATTTTAACCCTAGTTCAAACGTGACTTCTGGGGTGAGAGATCTTTGCCATATATTTTTTAGATAAAAAATTATGATTAAAAAAGAATGTGCTAGAATGTTATCCATCTGTTTTCCTTAACTTTATGCCATCAAAATCTGTTTTATGAAAAATGACATGATTTCAATTAGTGCCATAATTTTCAATTAACTCTCCATCTTTCCCGTTTTTTTTTTCAATTTTTTTTTTAGTTATTATTATTATTTTTTTAAGCAATCACGTTTATCTCTCAAACCTTATAGATGGCTTCCTCTACAAGCCATTGTATGACCCATTGTGAGAGACAGAAACGGGAATGGAGTGGGGCGTCCCACTCGTGTCTTTGAAGTGGGCCCAACCAAATTTGTACCCCCACAACCTCTAATAAAATTTTAACTTATGTTTATGCTTTGATTTGCGTTGATCTTTGGGATGATATTTACTCAAATCTTAGCAAAAATTGAGTTACTTTTGTAAAGGTAGAGAGAGTGGGGTTGCTTGAATTATGGGTTCAGAAAAATCCTAGATCTATACAAATCTAATCGTTTTCTGAATCCACTGGCAACACCAGCTCCAAATCTGTATTTTGACTTAAAAAAACTTTCTAAATTTAATCAAATATAATAAATCAAAGTAAAAAGTGATACTTACTTCTAGGGACCCGAAACCTAGAGTTTCGGCCTTGGATCAGGCCGTTCTTTCGATTTGTGCTACTCTTGGATGCCTTTACTTGCTGGAATTGGTAGATCTAAGGTTCTTTGGCTTAGATCTCGAGTTCTTAAGGGAGGGGAAAAAACTGAAAATTTTAGGTAGGGTTTATCAAAGTTTTTCTTAAGATTGAAGGAGAATTTCTTTAGTTTTCTAAGGGTTTTGGGATCTCCAGAGGTTCAATATGAATTCTGGGATTTTTTTTGATTTTTTGGGATTTTTGGGGATTTTTTCTAATTTTTTTAAGAATTTTCTAAGGGGTTTTTCCTTTTATTGGGCTAGTTTTCTAATTTCAGGAATTTCTAATGGATTTCTTGCTCTTCTTCCTCTCTTTTTCATCCTCCTTTTGGATTAGGGAGAGGGGATATTTATAATATTCAATTGGTGATTTTTCTTAATTTATTTTGAAAATTTTTCAGAATTTTTTGGATTTATCTTGAAGTTTTAGCCTTATCTAATTAAAAAAAACGGCTTTACTACATCATAAAGTGCATTGACTGCATCATCATGTCGTGTCTGTGTCATCAAGCTGCGTATGGGCCTTCCGGGTTGTGTCACAGCCCGGCCCGCTGCTGGACACTTGGTTCTTACATGAACTAAATTATCATTTGTTATATCGTTTTTTTCGTAGGTCCGTGTCAAGTGATTATTAGATCATTAGAAAGATCTTGGGCTCTACTTCAAGTTGCGATAGGATTTGGGTATTTTTGGAGCAATTAAATTGGGTCTAGATTGCCTATAGTCTACTAGGGTTTGTGTGGTCCTTTAAGACCAGAATAGAGGTTTTTAGGAGTTCTCCTAGCCAGAATTTCAAGGGGGTGTCTACAGTTACCCCTCTTTGGTATTCACTTGGGGCACCAAGTGAATGGCAAAGAAGTAGACACCTAAGACATGGAAGGAAGGAAAACCTTTTTCGAGGGATCATTCTTTTGAATGATTAGTACACTTTTGGGTAGGCGGTATGTCGACGGATGCTTTTAATCCATAAGACATTGAACTGACACTACTATCTTTGAGTCAGTGCAGTTGAGAGGTATCCGACAATCAAATCCAAAGTGACAATCAACAGGAACCATGCTATCTTTGAACTAGTGACACTCCAATACTACCTTGGAAGCTGCCAGTGTAGTCATCTTCGACTTTAGACCTCTTTCTTGGGGTCAGATTCTCCAATCGAATAGGACTTTGATTTAGAAGAAATGATTGGATGATGAATTTCTGGCTAATCAAACATCTTGTTTGCCTTGGATTCTGATTCTTGGGGTCCACAAGTTCAAATTTTTTTTTTTTTTTTGATGGGAACCTATGGGTTGGTCGCTGTTTTTCTAAGGGTTTGCAAGTATGGCAATCTATGATTTGGTGGCGGCGAACACATCATATCCAAGCCTTCATAAAACTCCTTCGTTTTTTAAAACATTTTAGAAGGTTTTGAAGATAGATTGAATTTTGAAACAAAAGCAGAGTTTCGAGCTACATTTTAACCAAAGAAATTAAGGTTTTTAAAAACTTACGAAACACATAGGGGAAAATTTGAAGATGGATGAGAAATTTTGAAAAACAAGTTTGGTTAGCTGTTTAGGTTCATGCTACCATAAAGCTCTTATTTATTTATTTTTTTTTTTTATGAGCTTGTCGAACCTCTACTTGGGACTTTCAGGATGAGGAATCACTAAGTACATCCTCATCTTCCAATCTTGGCTCCTTTATCACAATTCAAAGAAGAATTCTTCTTGTTTTTCGTGCAAACCGGTGTCTTGGATAGTATGGGATGTGCCTCAGAGTGCTCAAAATATCATTGTACTTCCAATTTTCTTCTTCCACTACCACTCTTTCAAACTTTAGATAGTTGAGCCTCTTCAAGTTTTTTTGGACTGATGCCTTCTTTTACTTTCTGATGCCATTCTAACCTGAGAAGAGAAGAATTTTTAGAGATTTTGGAGAAGAGACAAAAAGATAAAGAAGTTCTATTTTTTTATTATCCCGGGGTCCTTTTCATGTGTTGAGCCTGATAGCCTTTTTTCCAACGCTCGGGGTTCCTTTTGGATTTTCAGCCCGACATATTTGTTCTTTTTCTTTGCCGATAGGGTCCCTTTTGGGTGTTCAGCCAAGTGGCTTTTTTTTTTTTTCAAACACTCGAGATTCTTTTCGATTTTCATCTCGACGGATTTTTTTTCTTTTTTTTCTTTTGAAGAAGATGGAAACAGAGCAAGAGGAGAAGAGTTGGTGGCATTTTTTCCTTCTTGTGGTACTTCGTCCTAAAAAAAAATATAAGAACTCGATCATCCTTCCT